TTGGTCTACCGCTTGACCCGTTTTAGGGGGCTGTGCGTCCTACATCCTTACTGTTAGGTGCACCAACTGAAACAAATTCAAATGGAGCATCCATCTGGTTATTCTTACCCAATAGGAGTTCCACGCAGGGTGCCACCTCCACAGGGATGTTGCTGCTGCTCATACGGCCAATTAAAGCTGGTGCTGCATGCTGAAGGTGGGCAGAGGTCGAGGCAAAGGCAGGCGGAACAATTGGAATGCATGGGTCGTCGCATCTTGGCTGCTTCACATGGAGGACGACAGTTGTTTCTGTCACAGAAGCTGGTCTCCATATCGTCTAGAGGTCTTTCCAAAAGGTACGGGAGACTACTTAGTCTTGTATGATTCTCAAATCCACCGGGAGTCTCTCCCAACAGTCTGACTCCCAGCTGATCCGTCATATTTCCATAAGTATGCTGTTCTATCGGGGCTTGGGAAAAGGGGAGCCTCGGGTTGATAGGAAGAACATTCAGGGCTGTATGCTCCTTCATGGGGTCGTGACGAGCTGGATAAGATGCGTCTGACAGGGGAATTTCTGCGGTACCCTGGTGAGGGGTGGCTGTTACATTGCGTTGGTCCAACGGAGGATACAGATGCCAAGCATTTGACCGATCGATGTGTGTCTGGAAGGACATCGTAGAATTGAGAAAAATATTTCAAACTAATGATTGAGCATGCAGAAATGTGTTAAATCGGTGGCGCGTATGAAGCGCATTGATAAAAAACGAGGTCGTATTCAAATAGCCAATAGGGTCTCTTTATGTCATGCATATGTCGTTGGATTGGTCAGTAGAGCACACAACTACTAGCTTCGTCTTGCTTATGCTTCTTTGAAGACATCTGTCAATTGACGTCAGAGTAAAAAAATGGTATTACTTACGTAAATATTTCGTGCGCATCAAGGGCTGTTAGATTTTAATCATCTTAGTTAGAATTGGCAAGCCAAAATCTCTTCGCAATAACGCCCGTCATCAAAATTTCTAAATGGACGCATAAATCTGAACTAACGAAAGGATTATGCGCGAATATGCTTAGCTTGGACAACAGACAAGACATGTGTGTGTCCACATTAAGTCGCACAATAGTATTTCAGTTTTCTGTTTTAAAATAAAAGCGGATGGAAAGTTAGCCAAATTGAAAGATCAAAGAATTTTCAAGCCGCACCCCAAGGTGTATTTCTGCTAAGCGACCTTCTATCATTTTCATTCGGATTTCCAAGTAGGCTTCCACTTTACATGTAAAAAACTAATAGTTTTCTTCTTGTTAGACAAACTCCAAAAATTGCTTTCAAATTGTGTATAAGTTCGCACTTTGGTCATGGGATAAAACAATGCAACAAATACTTATTCATCCCCAAGTATTTCAAAACGTAAGTCCTATTAGTACCAAATATGTTACTCTAGGTTAACTAATTTTTGTTACCGTGAAAAAGGTTTGAAGACGTCGTACTATCTCATTAGCTTAGTATTTTTTATTTAAAAAATCCATGAAACTATCGATTTTCTCATGCGTTTAGTAAATACCTACACTCATAGTACTGCATCCACCCGAAAACCAATACACTCATCCCTCCTTTTTTCCCACGTCTTGAGTTAGCGTATGGGTGTGTTATTTACATAGAGGTGAATCTTAAGAGTTCATAATAGTCCTTGAAGTTTCAAGTAAGCTTTTTTAATTAATTTATGTCTGTTATTTGAAGGTCAAGGGTTCTGCATGGCCTGTTGTGTATAACAGCCAACGTGCTGCCTTGTTCAAAACGCTACCCCGATCGATCGATTCTCTGGCCGTGTGGGGCGTTCAGGATCTCCCATCCTTACAGGCGGTTTGTATATGTATGGTTTTCTGCATTCGGGTGAGTGTATGAACTATGTGCATACTTTTCGCATATCTTTCTATGCAACCTCATGAGATGTGCAGAAGTAAATTGATAGGGCAACGTTTGGCCAAGTTAATACGAAACTGAAATTATTATCGTTCCAGCCCAGTTCAACTTAAAATTTATTCACTAACTGACCACCAAGGCACGATAAGACACTAAGTTATTCAGTTTCCTGTTACAGTTTAAAATTGATCTAGCCACACTCTCCGAGACCTCTAGTTGACAGTTGTCTCTATCTTCATTTTCCGTTTATAATTCAGACAATAATGTGGCCAAGTTTAATGCCGTTTCGGTCTGTTTTTCCCCAAAATTACTCTTCCGCAGATTCTCATTGAAGCTAAATCTGAAAGTTTGAATACTATGAGGAATTAGCCAAAATTGTTCCAGAAACATGTCATACAACTGAATACATTGCCTTTATTGGCTTGTGCAAAATTTCTAACCCTGTCCGCAGAGTTATACCGTCTTTTTTCGAATGTGGATGCTCGAAAATGTTCAAGTAGAGCTTAGGGAACAGCACAGTTCCTGTGCGAGTCTGTTCTCTTGGTAAGGGATGGTGAAATAACGGTCAAAGTGGATTTTTACGTATCCTTATTTTTAGACTATGAGTAGTTTTCTTCAAAATACCTGTGATATCCCAAAGAAAAACAGAATTCACTTAGGTCCTTTTATGGTCTTAAAAGGTTTTCAAACTCTACCTTTATAGGCGTCCCCGAACACCGTACGAAGACGAAGCTACGCCCTTATTCTAAGAAAATTTCACAAATTCAGTGTGACTTGGTGAATCCTTTCAGAACTATTCCTCTCCAACATTGAGTGTACCTACAAGTATGTTGAACCATTTTAATATTCTTTTGGCGGCTATGGACGATATAAATCGCAGGACTTATGCACGCTGCCTCAAGCGTTTAGAACACTCACCTTTAACCTCACAATCTATAAAAGCCTCACAGAAAAATCCCCGTATCGGAGATTTAGCCCCCCTGATTGCAGGGATCGGCATTTGTTCCAAGAAATGCTTCCAGTGGCATCAAGCACACATGCATCTATTCTCACCGGTTCTGCGCCGTGTTGCACAAATTCACCTTGAACGCTACCATGGGATGGAACTGGATGCCGCAGTTCCAATTCCACTTGTTGAACCTTCATTTTCTTTGGCGTCATCCGAGTCAGTTGAGGATTTATAAAGTTCCTGTGGCAACGTCTACAGTTTTCCTCCTTCTCCATCAACCTTGAAAATAAGTCACTCTTTCACGGACTTCTACTTCATTCGCAGACCACCCTCATAGTAAATCGTACCATCCACTAACGTATGGAGATCCTCGTAGAAGGGATTTCCGAGTGGTTCCAGTTTTATTTATTTTGTTAACAGTTTCGCTACAGAAAAGTTTTTATTCTGTGTAAATGCCGAATTTAAATAAAGTGAACAGATACGGACCTCTGCGCAGGTTACACCAACCTAAATTCCTTTATGCGTTCCCCAAGCTGTTCACCTGAGTGAAAAAAATCCTTCACCCAGCG